AGACGGCAGCAGGGCGGAGACCACAGCAGCAGGGCAGAGCCTGCAGCAACAGGGCAGACCTCACACCAGCAGGGTGGAGCCTCGGCAGAAAAATAGTGACTAGACTGCCTCCTAGCTGGGCAGGACAGTGCAACGGACACATAAAGAAGACCCCAACCCCCCAAGACAGAGCATCTGAGAAAAAAGGGTTTTTTTTTATGAGTTCTGCAATTAAATGTAGCAGCCTAACAGCCCTGAATGAACAACAGAGCTCACAGATCAGCACTTGAGCTCCTATAAAGTACAGATTGTCTCTTCAAGCAGCTCCCTGACCCCTCTATATCCAGAAGACTGACATTTCGCAGGCATCATTCTGGGACAAAGATAGCAGAAAAAGAAACGGGTAGCATCCCTCACTGTTCCGCAGCCACTAAAGGTGCACCCCAGACAAGCAGGGCCTGAAGTGGACCTCAGCAGTCGTACAGTGGAGGGGCTAGACTGGTAGAAGGAAAACCAAGTAACAGAAAGACTTCATCATCAACAATCTGGGTGTCCACTCAGAGACCCAATCGAAAAGTCAGCAACTACTCAGATGACAGGTGGATAAACCCACAAAGATGGGAAGAAACCAGCGCAAAAAGGAGGAAAACACCCAAAACCAAAACACTGTGACTCCTACAAAGGACCAAAACTCCTCATCAGCAAGGGAACAAAGCTGGATGGAGAATGACTGCGACGAAATGACGGAATTAGACTTCAGAAGGTGGATAATGAGAAACTTTTGTGAGCTAAAAGAACATGTTTTAAATCAATGCAAAGAAACTAAGGACCTTGAAAAAAGATTCAAGGAAATGATAACAAGAATGGATAACTTAGAGAGGAATATGAATGAATTGAAGGAGCTGAAAAACACAATACAAGAACTTCGTGAAGCATGCACAAGTTTCAACAGCCCAATTGACCAAGCAGAAGAAAGAATATGAGAAGTAAAAGATCAACTCAATGAAATAAAATGAGAAACCAAGATTAGAGAAAAAAGAGCAAAAAGGAATGAACAAAGTCTCCAAGAAATGGGGGACTATATGAAGAGACCTAACCTACATTTGATAGGTGTACCAGAAGGGGACGAAGAGAATGAATCCAAGCTGGAAAATACTCTTCAGGATATTATCCAGGAAAATTTCCCCCACCTAGCAAGGCAGGCCAATATTCAAGTCCAGGAAATACTGAGAACACCACAAAAAAATTCCGCAAGAAGAGCAACCCCAAGGCACATAATCGTCATATTCACCAGGGTTGAAATAAAGGAGAAAATACTAACGGCAGCCAGAGAGAAAGGTCGGGTCACCCACAAAGGGAAGTCCATCAGACTCACAGCAGATCTCTTGACAGAAACTCTACAAGCCAGAAGAGAGTGGGGGCCAATATTCAACATCCTTAAAGAAAAGAACTTTCAACCCCGAATTTCATATCCAGCCAAACTGAGCTTCAGAAGTGAAGGAAAAACAAAATCCTTTGTGAACAAGCAAGTACTCAGAGATTTTGTCACCACCAGGCCTGCTTTACAAGAGCTCCTGAAAGAAGCACTACACATAGAAAGGAAAAACCAGTACCAGCCATTCGAAAATCATCCTAAATGCTAAAGAGCATCAACATAATGAAGAATCTACATCAACTAATGGGCAAAACAGCCAGCTAGCATCAAAATGGCAGTATCAAATTCACACATAACAATATTAACCCTAAATGTAAATGGACTAAATGCACCAATCAAAAGACACAGACTGGCAAATTGGATAAAAAACCAAAACCCATCAGTGTGCTGTATCCAGGAAACTCATCTCAGATGGAAGGATACACAAAGGCTCAAAATAAAGGGATGGAGGAAGATTTACCAAGCAAATAGAGAGCAAAATAAAGCTGGAGTTGCAATTCTCATCTCTGATAAAATAGACTTTAAAGCAACAAAGATCAAAAGAGACAAAGAAGGCCATTCCATAATGGTAAAAGGATCAATACAACAAGAAGAGCTAACGATCCTAAACATATATGGAACCAATACAGGAGCACTCAGATATATAAGGCAAGTTCTTAATGACTTACAAAGAGACTTAGACTCCCACACAATAATAGTGGGAGACTTTAACACTCCACTGTCGATAATAGACAGATCAACCAGACAGAAAATCAACAAGGATATCCAGGGCTTGAACTCAGACCTGGAACAAGCAAACCTGATAGACATTTACAGAACTCTCCACTCCATTCCTTCTAAAACTATTCCAAATAATCCAAAAAGAGGGAATCCTTCCCAAATCATTTCATGAGACCAACATCATCCTGATACCAAAACCCGGCAGAGACCCAACAAGAAAAGAAAACTTCAGGCCAATATCCATGATGAACATAGATGCAGAAATCTTCAATAAAATATTGGCAAGCCTATTGCAACAGCAAATCAAAAAAACGTATCCATCATGATCAAGTAGGATTCATCCCAGTGATGCAAGTCTGGTTCTACATACGCAAGTCTATAAACGTAATTCACCACATAAACAGAACCAAAAACAAAAACGACATGATTATCTCAATTGACACAGAGAAGGCATTCGACAAAATTCAACAGCCCTTTATGCTAAAAACCCTCAATAAACTCGGTATCGATGGAATGTATTGCAAAGTAATAAAAGCTATTTATGACAAACCAACAGCCAATATCAAACTCAATGGGAAAAAACTGGAAGCATTCCCTTTGAAATCCGGCACTAGACAAGGATGCCCTCTTTCACCACTCCTATTCAATATAGTACTGGAAGTTCTAGCCAGAGCAATCAGGCAAGAAAAAGAAATAAAGGGTATTCAAATAGGCAAGTTGGAAGCCAAATTGTCTCTATTTGCAGACGACATGATAGTATACCTAGAAGACCCCATCATCTCATCCCAAAAACTCCTGAAACTGATAAGCAACTTCAGCAAAGTCTCAGGATATAAAATCAATGTGCAAAAATCAGAAGCATTTGTCTACACCAATAACAGACTTCAAGAAAGCCAAATCAAGAACAAACTGCCATTCACAATTGCTACAAAAAGAAAAAATACCTAGGAATACAACTCACAAGGAACGTAAGGGACCTCTTCAAGAAAAACTACAAACCACTGCTCAACGAAATAAGAGAGGACACAAACAGATGGAGAAACATTCCATGTTCATGGTTAGAAAGAATTAATATCGTGAAAATGGCTATATTGCCCAAAGTAATTTACAGAATCAATGCTATCCCCATCAAGCTACCATTGACTTTCTTCACAGAACTGGAAAAAACCACCATGAACTTCATATGGACCGAAAAGAGAGCCTGCATAGCCAAGTCAATTCTAAGCAAAAAGATCACAGTGGGGTCATCACACTACCGGATTTCAAACTATACTACAAGGCTACAGTAATCAAAACAGCATGGTACTGGTACCAAAACAGAGATATAGACCAATGGAACAAAACAGAGGCACCGGAGGCAACACAACATATCTACAACCATACAATCTTTGATAAACCTGACAAAAACAAGCAATGGGGAAAGGATTCCCTGTTCAACAAATGGTGCTGGGAAAACTGGCTAGCCATGTGTAGAAAGCAGAAACTGGACCCCTTCCTGACACCTTACACCAAAATTAACTCCAGATGGATTAAAGACTTAAACATAAGACCCGGCACCATAAAAACCCTAGAAGGAAATCTAGGCAAAACTATCCAGGACATAGGAGTAGGCAAGGACTTCATGAACAAAACACCAAAAGCATTGGCAACAAAAGCCAAAATAGACAAATGGGACCTAATGAAACTCCACAGCTTCTGCACAGCAAAAGAAACAGTCACTAGAGTGAATCAGCAACCAACAGAATGGGAAAAAATTTTTGCAGTTTACCCATCTGACAAAGGGCTGATTTCCAGAATTTACAAAGAACTCAAACAGATTTACAGGAAGAAAACAAACAAGCCCATTCAAAAATGGGCAAAGGATATGAACAGACACTTTACAAAAGAAGATATATGAGGCCAACAATCATATGAAAAAATGCTCATCATCACTGGTCATTAGAGAGATGCAAATCAAAACCACATTGAGATACCATCTCATGCCAGTTAGAATGGCGATCATTAAAAAATCTGGAGACAACAGATGCTGGAGAGGATGTGGAGAAAAAGGAACACTTTTACACTGTTGGTGGGAGTGTAAATTAGTTCAACCATTGTGGAAGACAGTGTGGCGATTCCTCAAGGACCTAGAAATAGAAATTCCATTTGACCCAGCAATCCCATTATTCGGTATATATCCAAAGGACTATAAATCATTCTACTATAAGGACACATGCACACGAATGTTCATTGCAGCACTGTTTACAATAGCAAATACCTGGAACCAACCCAAATGCCCATTGATGATAGACTGGATTGGGAAAATGTGGCACATATACACCATGGAATATTATGCAGCAATCAGAAATGATGAGTTTGTGTCGTTTGTAGGGACATGGATGAATCTGGAGAACATCATTCTCAGCAAACTGACACAAGAACAGAAAATGAAATACTGCATATTCTCACTCATAGGCGGGTGATAAAAATGAGAACACATGGACACAGGGAGAGGAGTACTAAACACTGGGGTCTATTGGGGGGGAAAGGGGAGGGCCAGTGGGGGGCGGAGCTGGGGAGGGATAGCCTGGGGAGAAATGCCAAATGTGGGTGAAGGGGAGAAAGGAAGCAAAACACACTGCCATGTGTGTACCTATGCAACTGTCTTGCATGTTCTGCACATGTACCCCAAAACCTAAAATGCAATAAAAAATTAAAAAGAAAAAAAAATAATTAAAAATAAATAAATAAATAAATAAAAGTAGTTCATTTGTCCAAAGCTATCAACTATGAATGATCTATCACACATTCAAATTCCCCCATGAAAGGCCTATTGCATATGCAAATATAATTTTCCATGCTTCATAGAAAGGAATTAAACAGGTACCTTTACTCTTTGGTATAATGGCTGTATATGCATCAGGTTTATATTTAGAAGCTACTGTTATGATTATCTCTTCAACTCAGTTGTAACTCCATGTCTCCAAAACAGGTGCTGGTCCTGTAACAAAGGACAAGGAGGACCCTTAAATATGCTACAATAAAAGAATAATTTTCGCAGTAGGGTACTATTATGAAATCCAATTTGTAGTCTCTCTCTAATTCATAAAGAATTCAGATATTTGTAGTAGACATGCTTTGCTTTAACAATCTAAAGCATACTTAGAGCCTTTTACTTCTCACTGTCAGTCTGTGTTTATTTCTTTTTGCATTTGTATATACACTCATCTTCCAAATTATAAGTTCCTTTGAGGGCAACTATTGTAATATTGAATTCGGTTTTCCTTCTGCTGCAAAAACCATATCTTAACATACTCTTTGGAATACATATGTTACAGCTACATTTTTATTGTGATGTATATAGGTGTATATATACATCCAGATACGTATATGTTTAATATTTATTGTTCTAATTTTATTAAATAAGACTATAATAGAAGCCCTTTTTAAAGAAGCTAATAGGATTTAATTATTTTAATTCCTGTTACTTCAAAAGTTCCAATATTCAGCTTTATATATGCTTCGTTGGCTATAACATGTGGACTGAAGTAAGAAAACTTTTCCCTAATTTTGATGTCGTCTCTGGTCTCTGGCCAATTTGTGACTACATGTTTATTTTTAAGACCTGACAGAGGAAGACTGAACATTTTTGTTTGTGTAAATGAGAATCTAAAATGATCCTTGGCCTGTATTCCCCACTAATGAGTAATTAACCCAGAAGGAGATCGAATTCTATGGGTGAAGCTATTTCTGCCTAAAGAGTTAGAGAGGGGACATGGTTGGAGAAAATAGAGCATAAGTATACACTATAATATTAAAAACAGTTAATATAACATGAACAGAAAGTAGATATGGTTAACATTTTCTGCATATTTTGAGGTAGTCTTGAATTTGTAGCATGATCAATGAAGCGTAGTGACAAACTTTGAGAGAGATATTGAAAGCCAATATTCATTCACAAGTGGAATGATAAATGATGCAGCATTATGAATGAAGACATTGCCAGATTTTTAAAATTGTATTTCAGAAGCATAGTGGGAGCAAGATCTTTTTCCTGTCAATACAAACATTTTTTGAGGAGGAATGGCATTGTAGTAACAGCTACCTTTTTATTGTGATGGGAAGTATGACTTTAATCAAGCATGACACATTTGATTATAAAGAACATGAAGACATTGTTCTGTAACATAAACAGGAAGAAATGGGGGACTGAATACCGTAAAGGATATTGATGTGCAATAACTGTGTATTATACATACAAATGAGTGTCCCTTCACTACCTATTATTCTAAATCTAAATAAATAAATCTCTACTACATGGGCCCATAAAATTTGTTATGCACTTTAAAAGAAATCAATTGTTTATATGGACCTCATTTTGAGAAAGATAGAGGGAGCAACAAGAACTAGATTAATCCTCATATTTTGTACATAATGACAAAAATATACTATTTTTATCTAAGAAAATTATAGATAAAATAAAATGTAAAGAGATACACAATTGAATGCAATCTGGCATTATCAACCTTATCACACTATCCTCTCTTAAAAGGTATACTCTGTTCTCTTTTCCTTTCCATGGCAACATCACCCTCATTTTTTTGTTGCTTTCTCTTGCTTTGGCTTTTAAGTGTCAAACCTTTCAGACTCACTCAATTCTTCTGATATCTTTCATAATTAAAATTCCCAAAAGTATCCTCACAGCTATGCTTATGGCATGTATGATTAAAAGTGTGGAAAACTCCAGGAGGAAGGAAAAGCTCTACATTTTTCATGTCATTCAAAAGATACTGTCTCCTGATTTTCTTCCATGTGTTACAAAAAAGAAATTCTGAAAATATTATTAGGATTGTTATGTTTCCATTTTTAACACAGAACTTTGACTGTGTACCAAGCTATTTTCCGCTCTACAAATATTACTGCTGATTACAATGTTTTGTAAAGATTCAGATTAACTTGCTTTTCTCAGAAACTTCTGAATTATTCCAGAAACAATTTTATACATAGGCTCAGCTATCCCTGTTTTCAGAGATAGGAATGGCGTTCTTACCACACATTTCTATCAAGTAGAACTTTTAAAATATACAATCAAAATGCTTAACAGATTCGAAAGTTGATTTTCAAAATAATTTTGCCACAAGGGAAAAAATAAATAAACACAGATGGAAGTTAGTTATGCTTTCTAGTTCAGTAGATTGGTACTAACCACAGGCAGAAATTGGAGAAGGTCAGAAGGGAGATTCTGGGGGGAATTGTGATGCATTCAATTTTTGCTATATTTTCTTTAGGATTATGAAAAGATATTTTAGAGAAAATATCCTACAGATTATCAGAAATGGGAATGCCTAGAGTTCTGTTATCTTGGCACTGACAATTAATTGTATATTCATGAAAAACACTATTTTCAAGATCTAGAAAATAATAACACTATGAACTCTGGTTACATTATTACAATATAAACAGATAATTCCTAAATATATTAATTTTAAATAACAAAAATATAATAAAATGAACATTAATACTCATAAGTGTAGAGTAAGATTATCCCTTCTCCATGAGCAGTTGTCAAACATGTATTGTTTTCTTTATTTAAAAGAAAATTCAAGTTAACTTTTGACAAAACATTGTGAAGTTATTAAATATTTCTACAGTGGTTTACTTACGTCCTAGAATGTGATGCAGTTTAAATGGAACCAACTAACCATCAATAACTATAACTATTTTATTAAAAGACATTTTGCAGGTGTTTTCTTTTTGTGTAGTTCTCATATTACTGCAGTTTCCTCTAGCTAATTCCTAATGAAAAGCCACTAGAGGGTGACCAAGCATCATTTCATTTTCTTCTCTTGCTCTGGTTACTAAAATTATTTAGGTTATATTAACATTATATATATGTGTGTGTGTGTGTGTGTGTGTCTTAATATAAATTATTTCATCAATATCCTTGAAGATTTTTCATTACTACACTTGTTTGAACAAAAATGAATTTAATACCAATTAGTCACAAGAAGTTTAAATGTTTCTAACTCTCTCATTTCACTTAGTCTTAAATAAAGGATCTGCAATCCTCTTAACATTTAAATAAAGGTCAAATGAGAATTATGAACTTTTTACTCCACAGGAAGTGTATTACTTAGAATTCACAAGAGAAACAGAACCAAAGGATAAACATTTTGGAAGAGATTTATTATAAGAAATTGGCTCATGGTAACTCATATATTAATGGAGGCAATTATAGAGGCTGAGCAGTTCAACAATCTGCCCTCTGCAACCTGGAGATCCAGGAGAGCTGGTGGTATAATTCAGTCCAAGTCCAAAGTCCTGAGAACCAGGAATGCCAGTCCCAAGGCTGGTGAATATAGATGTTTCAGCTCAAACAATTGGGCAGAAGGGAAAAGTGGTGAATTCCTCTTTCTGTTGCTTTTTTTTTTTTTTAATTCTCTTCAGGTACTCAGCGGAGTAAAGTGTGCCCAGGCTTACTGAGGAGTACCATCTGCTTTACTGTGTCCACCTACTCAATGCTAATCTTATTTGGAAACGATCTCACAGACCAAAAATAATGTTTAATCTGGACACCCCTTGGCAAAGTCGAATTGAAACATAAAATTAATCATTGCAAGAAGTAAATTTTTACCCCCTTTGGACTATATATTATATAAATTAACCACAATTTTGAAAATAAATCTATACTTCTGAAAACGATGTCTTAGCATTTCTTAGCCTTTGAAAAATTACTTTTCAAAGTAATTTTTGAACGATAACATAAAAGTAATTATAATAAGCAGCAGGTATATTTTGAGAAAATCAACCAATTTCTTGGCATACAATTAAATTTTTTTTTCTAATTTTTCCTGAAGTTTATCTTGAGAAGTCGTACTAAAATATATATTAATAATTACAAATAAAAATTATCATAGTATTATTTCATAGTACAATTATAATATAGATTCAAAAGGAAGTAGTTTTAATCCTGAGGGTCTGAGTATATTAAGACACTTGAGAAAATACAAATTATTGATTGACATTTCTAGAACAATGATCCACTATACAATAAATATTTTATTTTAAAAAATTGAATATTTATTATTTAAATCAATATCAAAGAAGTAGTTAAAAAGAGTATTTACCTGTCAATTCTCCCAGTTTTTAAACCAAGAAGCACGCTATTATTAATAAGCAAATTAGTATTTTCTTATTTTTCACACAGTGTGATCTGGAGTTGAATAGCTGAGCTCTGTTTAATTCTGAGCTCCGTCATTTGCTAATTATGTGACCTTGAGTAAACTAGTTAACCTCTTTAAGCCACCGCTATCTCATCCCTAAAATTGGGAGAATAAAGTTCCTATCTCAGGGGACTGGTTGGTGGATTAGCCGAGATAATGTGTATGATGCATTATGCAGCATATCTGGCACAGAACTCCTACTCAATAAATGTAAATTAATTATATGATGAGCTTTGAATCATGATGAGAAGGTTAGGCAAAAAACATCATCTTCATAGTACTTCTAGCATTGGTTTGAAGATTAGTTACTGCTATAACTATTCCTTCCTCTCTTGCTTTCAAATTCTCCTTCTCAAATCACCCATTTAAGGATTTTAGATACTTAATTTAATACATATTTATGAAATCATATATAATAATTGTAATGCTTATAAACCCTTCCTTAGGGCCTGGTACTATGCTAGATTCAATGAGGGACTGAAACAAATATAAAATTATAAAAGGTGAGAGGAGAGTGAGCTGGAGTAGTCAAGGGAAGGGGAAAGGAGAGAAATGAAGGGCGCATGAGAGAGACTGAAAAGGGAGGGGAGGGGAGGGGAGGGGAACTAAGTTTCCTCAATCAGGCAATGCAAAGAGGCCTTAAGATTATAACCATGTTCAACATATGATAGCACTACCTACCATAGCACTCTATATTATATTTAGTCACCTGCTTAATGCCTGTGTTCACTAAGGGACCTGAGGTTTATTAAGGTAAGTTTCCTCACTATTCCTTACT